TTTACCTTTTAAAAAAGATGTCCATTTCATTTTAGAATATATTATTCCTTGCAGAAAGACTCATTGTTTTTGCTACTAACACTCAGATGTTGATGCTTGCATCTCTAATCTGCATGTATCTAATTATTACCAGTCATAATCTGTTGCACTCAGATCCTTGGCGCCTGTGTATGTCTATAAAGTCATCGGGTAGATTTCAATGGTATTGTTTATCACATCTACTAATTGGCATGACGTAAATTTCCATGCTTCCTCCTCAAATATAATACATTTAAAAAAATTTGTTGATTTTTTTTTGTGTGTATATCACACAGAACATCCCAAACCATCTTATTTGACTGTACACCCATTTCCCAGGTAGCACCCTCTCATAGCCTCCCCCGCCCCCCGCAGAGCCCTTATACTCTGATATCCCTGCTACTGTCTGCTGTGTTGTCAGCACCCCCAGCCCTTCCTCACTACTTGTCCATCTGGTGAATCTAGTCAGCCTATCTAGAGGTCTTTGTTTTAGGAGGGTCAGCTGTTTCTCATCTTGTGGTAATCTGTTGTCAATATTCCTTTGGATAAGATTGGGGTCTGCTGTTCATTTTCCCAGTTCTCTGCTGGGTTACTATCTGGGAGTCCCTTTGGCCACCTTGGCCAACAACTCAAAAGAAGGTATCACCTGTCTGGCATTGTTGCTTGTTATGTAGCCTTTAGCTACGCATATGGACTCTTAAGAAATTATATTGGCCCCTTTAATCTTTGGTTATACTTTCCTTTTGGGTGTTTAAGGCCATACCGTTGGCCCAGATAAACCAATTTATTTTTACTCTTAAGGTCGTTTGAGGATCTGTTCCTCAGGGGTCACATGGGCTTGAGAGGCACCCTGCAAAGTCTACTCTGTAGCCTAGGCTTGTCTCAAAGTCACTAGTTCAAGTTGGCCTTGAATTTGTTGCCATCCCCCCAGCTTCAGCTTCAAGTGCCGGCATTACAGGCATGTGTGAACACCTGGTTTAACTCTGCGTTTTCACTCTTTCAAGTATTATCTTGGATATTAAAATTTGCAGCTTTGGGGATGGAGAGATGGCTCAGTGGTTAAGAGCACTGGCTGTTCTTGCAGAGGACCTGGGTTTGGTTCCCAGCACACACATGGCAGCTAACAACTGTATATAACTCCAGTTCCAGGGGATCTGACAACCTCTTCTGACCTCTGAGGGCATTCCATGACATGGGTGCACCTACATACATGGAGGCATAACACTCATACATATTAAATAAAAATAATAAATGAAATATTTAAAATTTGCATCTTTGAATAATATAAATTAGTATGTAAATGAATATTTTTATCATTTAATGAGCCAGGTATGTACCCCTAAAATATTTAAATTCTATTTACCTGGGCAGGTGAGATTGCTTGGTGGGTAAGGTACTAACTGCCAAGTCTGATGACCTGAGTTCCATCCCCAGGACCCACATCTCCCCCAAACTGTCTTCTGACTTCCACATACACACCATGGCCTGTGCATACACATATACACAGATGCATACTCATCCCCACCCAAAGCAAATAAGTAAATGTAAAAATTACTTAAATTGCATTTACTTCCCTCTAGTCATGTGTCATCGTTTATTTCAGTTTCTCTCTCTCTATTTGGCTCTTCAATTACCATTTTTTGTTGTTGTTCCTAAACTTTATTAAATTAATACAAAATATCCTGGATAAATGCCATATTAACCCTTATCATTCCCCTCCTCTTTATCCAGGTTAATCTAGAAGTAACAAAATTGTTAACTCTGGTAGTGAATATGCATAAAAATCATGTAGATGGACCTGGAGAGATGTGATTCAGAGCACTGACTGCTCTTGCAAAGTACCTGGGTTCAGTTCCCAGCACTTACATGGCAGTTAACAACCATCTGTCACTCCAGTTCCAGGGGACCCGACACCCTCCTCTAACCTCCATGGGCATTGCGTGACACAGGTGTACCTACCTACATGCAAGCAATACACTCATATATACTTAAAAATAACAAATAAAATTGTGAAAAATCACGTAGATTAGTTTTCAAATATTTTTTGGTGAGATTTCTCAAATAGTTTTGGAAAAGGTGCCCCGGAAGTTACAGTGATCCTGTTCTTTCCCCGTTTGATGGTTACAACCTTTGCACCAAGTTCCCAGCTTTTCAGTTCATGCTGATTTCCCACTGGAGGAGCTGCTCACACAGGCAGCCTCTATGACTGCATCTTCCACAGGGTGGGTGCAGTCAAGGGTGAACTTCAAAACTTCATTCTATTTTTGCTCTCATTCCCCACAGGTTCTGTCATGGGTACCATGGCTGCAGCAGAGGCAGAAACGGTCCAACTCCTGTTTTAAACGGCTCAGTGTTTAGTATTCACACGTTAATTTTTTTTTTTTTTTTTTTTTTTTTTTACTGCCAGGGTCTCTCTGTGCAGCCCAGGCTGGTAGTAAACTTGCAGCAATGTTCCTGCTTCCGCCTTCTGAGTGCTGGGGTTACAGCCACGGTCACTGAGCCTGGTGAAATTATTTTTTCTTTGTAACTTCTATTGCTGTTGAGCCTCACCTGAGTTCCATTCATCGGGATGTTACCTAAAGATCCCTATTACTATTTCTTTTCCACTGAGCCAGCTGGTCATGAAGTTTCTCCCATTTTGATGGTCGGGAAATGGCTTTGTCTGTTTGCTCTGTCTGTGAAGTACTTTTGCAGTGGACGTGTCATTCAGTTTTGGACTTACTTTCTCTCGTGTTTCTGGCTTGTGTCATTTCTTTTGTTGACTCGGCTTTGTGTTTTTATCATGTCCTTGAAAGTAAGGTGTCTTCTCCACACTGGTAGATTTTAGATTTTTTTCCTTTTGGAGACAAGTCTTGCTATGTAGCTGAGGGGGCTTAGGACTCATGAGGCTCCTGCCTCGGCCTCCAGAGCAGCTGCTTCTATAGTCTTTGCTTTGCAGCAGTTGCCAGAGACATAATTTGTCTTCCAAAAGCCCATGTGTTGAGGCCCTAACCCCAATGAGACTGCGTTTAGAGACAGGGGACTTGCTATGGTCACCAAACAGACTGAAACTGCAGCTGTGCTGTGAGGTGCAGAGGGTGGTTTCCCAGTGTTTTTCCACTTGGTTTTGTAGAACTCATGGGACCCTTGTCTTGATGGCTTCTTGTCAGTTCGGGATACTCTTGGCCAATATCTGCTGCCCAGTTCTCCTTTCCTTCTGTGTACAACAGAAGATCTCAACCTAATTTGAGGTTGGGGAGGTCTCTGAGGAAGTGAGGTTTCTGGTGGGACCTGAAGTAAGAATGGTGGGGACACGCTGGGGAGAGGGGGGCTGGGGCATTCTGAGCAGGGCAATCACTTGTGCTGAAGAACCAGGTCTATCTGGAGATCTTTAGAAATAAACACAGGAATGTCTGGAGTGAGAGGCAGGAGTAGGTCTCATGAGTGAAACTGGAGAGGAAAGTAAAGGCCTGACTGGAGTGGGCTTCATGGGGGTTACAAAGGCTGGATTTCATCTTGTTACTGCTCAGCACTGTTACTTGATAAATGCTATTAAAAATGGTAATTTAGCCAGACATGGTGGTGGTGTACGACTGGAATCTTAGCACTCCCAGGCTGAGGCAGGAGGATCCAGAGGTCAAAGTCAGCACTGGAGAGGTGGTGTAGTGGTTAAGAATGCTTGCTCTGCAACCATGAGGACCAGAGTTTGGATCCCAGCACCCACATAAGAAGCTGAGTACCTATAGCCACAGCTCTGAGGTGGGGTCTGGAGACATGAAGATTGCTGGAGCTTTCTGGCTTCCAGCCTAGTTCAGAAAGCCCAAGCCATAGGATTAGAAAGAGATACCTGTCTCCAAGGGAAACAAGTGGGGTGTTATGGGTTAGTGGATGCCCTCTTCTGGGCATAGGCACCTACATACATATGTGCTGAGAGAGAGAGAGAGAGAGAGAGAGAGAGAGAGAGAGAGAGAGAAAATAGAGAATAGAGAATTCAAGGTCATTTCCAGCTACATATTGAGTTAAATGACAGCCTGAGGTACATGAGATCTTGTCTCAAAAAAAAAAAAAAAGTAATTTGTGACCGTTCCTAAAAGCTTCTTTTTTCTCACCTTAAGAGGAATCCTGAAGATAAAAGTTCACAGCTTCTTTTATCTCTAAGTCACTATTCTGTCTTTTTGTTCTCCAGATTAGCTCAAAGTCTTTTCAGAACTTGAATCTTACATAGATTTCAGAGCAATAACCCCTCAACCTTCCCCTCTGAAGAGCAGATACTTTCTCCTCCCAGAACCCAGCACAGTGTGGGTAAATCTCTGTTGACAGAATAAGAAATGGTTACTTTCCTAAGGTTTCTTTTCTTTTTTTTTTTCTGTCTTTTTGAGACAGGGTCTCCTTGTAGCCCCAGCTGTCCTGGAACTCACTATGTAGACCAGGCTGGCCTTGAACTTACAAAGATCTGCCTGCCTCTGCCTCTGCCTCCCAAGTGCTGGGATTAAAGGCATGTGCCACCACGCCCGGCCCTAAGGTTTCTTTTAATGGACAGCTGACAGGTTACTCTTTGCCAGTGTGAGTAATGTTTAAAATTTACCCTGGAGGGCAGCACTTAGACACACCACAGCCCCAGCTAATGTACCATGTGACATAAAGAATAAAGCAAAACAGAGGGAGCAGGCAACGGATGGGGAAGGCCTGAGATTTTCCTCAGTCCCCCAGAGGAGTCTTTCATCTGAGGGAATGAGAAATATCCCTATCACTGAAGACACCTACTCAGGACACAGCTGAGACATTTTCTTAGGGTCTCTGTCTTTGAATTCTGGGGTGACAGCAAACCTAACCTTTGCTCAAATTAGAGAAACGTGGTTTTTAATGAAAAACGAAGCAAAAACTTGATTAGGTCCTTGCTTCCAAAGCCATGGACCCATGTTAACTGAGAACTTACTGGGTTCTAGGCTCTATTTTCCTCAGAGCTCCTGCTGTCTGTAGGTGCGGAATTCCTTCTGGTCATCAGGGGAAGGGCACAGTTCTTTGGGAAAAGGGGGACATTGTTACTACAAATGAGTCCCTTGTAATTTCACATGATTCTTAGACATGCTGTACCTTGACATATGTCCTCCTGGGAGACCAAAAAAGAACTCTAAGTTCCCCAGAAAGACAAAACTCTGTGTGCTCTACTTGTGGTTTTCCCTTGGATTTTGGTCACGTGGTTCTGTATCACCCAATGTCTTGGGGGCGGGGGCGGGGTTAAGGCCCAACCTTAAAAATACTATAGTGAGCATTTCGTACTTTCAGTGAGGGTGGGTGTGGGATTGGTATAAATAACCTTCTTACCATTATTGAAGTCCTTAGGATTCTGTTCTTACAAATCTTTTGTTTTTGCAGCCAAGGTGGCAGTCAGTGGAGGCTTCCAGAAACTCAAGAACTTAGATCTTTCACTGTGTAACAAGATTACAGAAGAAGGATATAGAAATTTCTTTGAAGTCCTGGACAACCTGCCAAACTTGCAAGAGCTGAACATTTCCAGGCATCTCCCACAATGTATCAAAGTTCAGGCCACCACCGTCAAGGCCCTCAGTCAGTGTGTGTCCCGACTGCCCAGCCTCACCAGACTCACCATGCTAAGTTGGCTCCTGGTTGAGGAGGACATGAAACTGCTCAATGCTGTGAAGGAAAGACACCCTCAATCTAAATGCTTCACTATTATCTGGAAATGGATCCTACCACCCTCTCTGGTTATTCAGAAATAAAAGATGCTGCTGAAGACTACTAATCAAGAAATTTTGTCAACAGTTCTAAAACTTTGATTTTCAAAATCAAGACCCTGCCTTAAAGACCAAAACCATAACTATTTCATACACAAGAATTTTACTGAAGTGTGTGAGGATTTTTTTTTAAAAGCCTGTATGTCCATCACTAAAGTTCAGAGCTATCATGCACAGTATCTTTGCAGTCTTGTGTGATCCTTCTGCATAGAGATTAGCCTCTCAATCAAGTTCATACAGTGAACCCTCTGTTATCAAGGTCATCACGGAGAGGCTGTGGGAAAGCAATAGGATCTATGTAAAAACCCACAGCACAGACGAAGTATTCAGTTTAGGTACAAAACGTCCAATTTAAAGATTGAATCAGTTCCACACATGATGAGACAAGGGCTGACGACCACAGGATGCAGATGACTTTTCTGGAAGACATTCTCTAGTCTTTGCAGGGTCTTTTGTGCATTTCAGTAGCCTTGATGTGGGAGAGCTTGCTTGTACATCTCTTTTCCATTACCAGTGTGAAGAAGAAGTTAGGTTTAGGGAAAACTGCTTTGTTTCAGAGGCTTTTGAGATTTCCACATGTGCTGTAACGACCTTACATTTTCTTATATTCCTCTGTAATCAGGGTACATGGTTTAATCCCATTAAAATTTAAATACAGTTTCTAGATACATTAAAATTTTGGGGAAAATTAATTAACTTGATTGTGGTAGTCATTTGTCATTTCATATACATATTAAAAACTCATCTGTATGCCTTATGCTTTTATGACTTAAATATTATGTACTTTTTATTTGTCAGTTATACCTCACTGAAGTTGGGGAAAAAGGTTTGAACAGAAAAAGAACTAGGTTAGCACTGGTTTCTTCGGGAAGTGAGGCTTTCTTGATTTTCACTCTCTCCCTTCTGTGCTACTTTTGTTCTGCGACTGCCAGTGTTATTTTTATTTAACATGAAAATTAGGGCTTGGAGTGTAGCTTAAAGATAAAGTGCCTACGTAGTGTTCATGAGGCCCTGGGCTCCATCCCCAGCATTGAAAAAAAGAAATATAAAAAAATTAAAATTAAGTGAACAAAAATTAAAATAATTTAGAATTAAAATATTAACATATGTTGCCTCTGAAAGGTCAAATATTTTATATTCTTACTCATTTGATTGGGGATGCAATACTTTTGCTATCAGAAAGTTCTTAAGTATTATGTCATAGTTCAGTGAGAAGACAGAAACCAGAGGGAAATTTACCACAGGGTCATTGGGGGAAAGTTAGTGTATCATTAGTGCTAACCAAGGACTGGAATGATGGAGATTAGGTAGCAAGGAATATGAACTCTGAAGCAAACACAGGGATTCATCTTAGTCTAGGGAATCCTGGGGTTTAATCAACACCTTGCGGGACACAGCCGGGACACCAAGGTTTGCTAGGGCTGTGAATCTGCAGCCTGGGAGCTACTGGACTGGGGATATTTTGCTGCAAGATGCCTCACAGTGCTGTGTGCTCTGCCACTGTGTGCTGCTGAAGGTGCCTGTGGCTGGAGCTGGTGCTGCAGGGATGTGCCTCCCCCTCCAGAACCAGAAGAAGCCCTGGCTCCTTCTATGTCTCAGCAGCGCCCTCTACCGACCAGATATGCACTGGGCCTGCTGACAGGGAAGAGGTATTCAGAGCAGAAAGCTATTATTGCAGAACAGAGGGTGAAAACTGAATTTGGGCCCGAGAAGCAACGAGTTGATAACTGGCATAACTCACTAGATTTAGTGGTACAGTTGGAAAAGAATCTAGGTGAACTTAATGAGGGTGCACACGTCTATAAACCCAGCTACTCAGGAGGTTGAGGAAGGAGAATCACAAGTTCAAGGCCAGGTTGGGCAGTTAAGGAGGACTCTGTCTGAAAACGGTATTTACAAAGAGCTGCAGATGTTGCTTATTGGTAGAGCACTGGTCTGGAATGCATGAGGCCCTAAGCTTGATCCCCAGTCCTGCAAAAGACAAATGAAAAAACAGCTCTAATATAATCCCATGGTTCTTTCTGTTTTATTTAAAACACCCCAGAACAAACAAAGAAGCAGCTTGTCAATTTTTTGTCTCCTTTTCTGATCATGTACTCCGTATTAAAGGCCACTTGAAATCTCTAAATCCACCTGCTGTGCCTCATGGGCTGTCTCCTCTCTTCTCAACTGCTTTTCTGTATGTTTCCTGGACCTTCTTAGAATATTCTCCTCAATTTCAAGTTTTTTTTTTTTTAAAACCATGACTCATGTTAGAAATTTTACAGCAAAGCATGTACCACAGCTGTAACAAGTATAAGACAGAACTTTTAAAGCCCTTGATAAACAGTTATGTCAGACATGATTTTTTTTGTATTTTATTTTATTAAAGAATTTTTTATTATTCCAAAGAGAGGCAATTTTTAACACATTTTTCAGAAACAACATGAAGCAGGTTACATCAAAATATATATACAAGAAAGCTTAAGGGTGGAAAAGAAGGATAAGAAATCAAAGACTAAAGCCGGACGTGGTGGCACACACCTTCAATCCCAGCACTTGGGAGCTGTGAGCTTGAGGCCAGTCTGATCCACATAGTGAGCTCCAGGCCAGCTGGGGTCACAGGGAGACTCTGTCTCAAAAAGGCAAAAGAAAAAAAAAAAAGACGAAAAACAATTCAAAGACCAAAGGATTTGCCAACATGGAGTCAATTTTGGTGACATAATGAAGGTGTGCATTAGTTTGTTTTTTTTGAAAATCCTTACTAGTTCTACTAACAGAGCATAGGGTAAGGGTCTATTTACAGAAGAGTGGTCCATTTACAGCTGTACTGTAAAGTCCACAGTCAAATACAGATCCTGTGACCTACAGACAGTTGCACAAAATGGTGACAGAGGTGCCTCCCAGTGTTCTTGGCTTATATATCTTTTGCCCCTCCCCCACATGTAGATAAGGTCGACTGATTGGGTGGGAGGGGTAACTGACTCCCCCCTCGACTCTTTGATGAGCGTGGGAAAGAGGTGTGACTATAACTTGCTGGCATAGTGATTGGAGGACACTTCAGTTAACACTCTACCCCTTCCTCTGGTTCTTATATTCTTTCTGCCAACCTCTTCTGCAAAAGTCCCTGAGCCTTGGAGGGGGTGATAGATGTGGGATGATCTTCCTCCCGTCGTGGCAAGGCACTGAACTTTCAAGTCTCTGCATCGTCTGTTTTCCATGGGCTGTTGGCCCATTTCAGTGGGATTCCATGTACTATAAAAACACACCCAGGAAGAAACAGGAACATCTGAACAGTGACTACTACAATAACTTAACCTGTGGATGTAAACAAAAATGCTTGGATGGTATTTTAGCAGGTGCATCAGTTCCATATAACAAAGCAAGTGCAGTGACTTCCCTCTGGGGCTTATATTCTCCCCTGCCACAGGGGGTTGCCCGGGTCTACAGTACCAGATGTGTGTTCCGCCCCTAGGAGTGAGCTTTATAGCCAATCAAAATTTGCTGGTTGTACATACACTACATGCTCCACTATTGCACCAGCAGGAACATCTTGTTTGGTATGTTGGTAGTGCAACACATGGGTCCGTCGTTCAGGAGAATTATAGGGAACTATTCTTCCCCAGTCATCTGCATATTGCCTTTTGGCACAATGAAAGCCACCCATTCAGTGGAAAGGAGTTTCCAGCTTAGTCCAAGTTTGAGTTCTCCCTCTCCCACACTCACATCATGCAGTGTCTTCAGCAATAGGGTTTTTCCCATCCACTTCCCATGTACAACCAACATTATTGGCAATGGCCTTTAATGTTTTGGAGTCCTCTAGGGTCCCTCGGGCCAACAGCTCATAGGGGGACACCCACCTCTGGCACTGGGATTTTCATTTAACCACCTTATTGCTTTTTTTTTTTTAAACTGTGTATCTGGAGAATTTTTCCCCGTTTATTCTCATAGATCTTTGTATAGCCCACCTTCCCCCTCCCCTTTAACTACCCCCTTTTTACATGTTTCTCCCTGAATAACACATTTATCCTACTATTCTTCTCTCTCTGGTTTCTTCTTTAGCTTTACCTCTCTGTTTCCCTTCCATATTCCTGTCCTTACAGTTGCATCAGGATATATATTCACTTATAAGGATTTGGTGCTAGGATCCACAGATAAGGGAGAACATACGTCTTTTCTTTTTCTAAGTCTGTATTACTTAACTTGGTATAACAGTTTCTAGATCCATCCATTTACCTGCAAATTTCATTACTTCATCTTTCTTTACTGCTAAATAGAACTCCGTTGTGTAAATGTACCACATTTTTGTTAACAACTCGTCAGTTGAGGGACACTTAGGTTGCTTCCATCTCTTAGCTATTGTGAAAAGAGCAGCAACAAATATGGTTGCACAAGTGTCTCTACAATAGGATGAGTCCTTTGGGTATGCCAAGGAGTGGTACAACCAGGTCATATGGTAGGTTCATTTTTAGTTTTTTAAGAGTTCTCCACACTGTTTTCCATAGAGGTTGCATGAGTTTGCAATCCCACCAGCAGTGAATGAGCATTTCCCTTTCTCCACATCCTTGCCAGTTTTGGGTATCATTTGTTCTCTTGATCATAGCCAGTCTGATTGGGGTAAGGTGATACCCTAGGGTGGTTTTAATTTGCATTTCCCTGATTACTAACGATGTTGAACACATTTGAGATGTTTCTTAGTCATGTTTATTTCTTCCTTTGAGAACTCTTGGTTTAGATCTTTAGCCCATTTTTTAATTGGGTCACTTGGTTTCTTGATTCTTTGTTTTTTGAGTTCTTTATATATTTGGATGTTAAATCTCTGTCAGATGTGTCACTGGTGAAGATTTTCTCCCACTCTGTGGGTTTTCTCTTCACTTGTTTTTTTGTTTCTTTGCTGTACAGAAACTTTTTAGTTTAATGATGCTCCACTTGTTGATTGTTGACCTTAATTCCTGAGCAACTAATTCCTGAGCAACTTCTGTCCAATTTAGAAAACGTTTCCTACATCTATGTCTTGTAAGTTACTGCCAATATTGTCTTCTAATAATTTCAGGGTTTCCAGTTTCACATTGTGGTCTTTGATCCATTTGAAGTTGACTCTTGTGCAAGGTGAAAGATAAGGATCTAGTTTTATTCTTCTATAGCTGGAGATCCAGTTTTGCCAGCACCATTTGTTGAAGATGCTGTCTTTCCTCCATTCTGTGTTCTTGGCACCTTTGTCAAATATCAGGTGGCTGAAATTGCATGTACTTGGGTTTGGGTCTTCAGATGTTCCATTGATCTATGTGTCTATTTTTGTGCCAGTACCATGCTGTTTCTATGACTATAGCTCTGTAGTATACTTTGAGATCTGGTAATCCCCCCAGCGTTTCACTTTGTGCTCAGGGTTGCTTTGGCTATCTGGGGTCTTTTGTGCTTCCATATAAATTTCAGGATGATTTTTTTCTAATTCTGTGAAGTATGTTGCGGGGATTTTGATTGGGATTGTACTGAATCTATATCTTGCTTTTGGTAGGATGGTCATTTTTCCAATATTAATTCTTCCAACCTATGAGCATGAGAGGTCCTTCCATCTCCTGGTATCTTCCTCAATCTCTCTAACGATTTAAATTTTTCATTGTAGAGGTCTTTGGTGTCTT